CAAAGCATGAGCAAAAATTTAAATCAAAGTGTCTTGTGAAATTCAGCAAAGGTGGTCCAAAGTTAGGGCTTGGCGATATGTCCTGACAATTATATCATGATATTTTTGGGCTATATCTCAATACACGTCATTTATGTTGATCTTTTTTAACCTTCTCAAAAGCACGTCAGAAAATATAATAACACAATGAGATTTTTGATTAATAATCATCAATATAACGACTAAGTGGGTTAAGACAAGCGTTAAAACAAACAGTAAAGTCTGCTAAGTTGATGCTTTTACATCACTGACGCCTTTAAAATGAGGGAAAAACACCAGTTCTGCCACATCACGATACAACGATATCTAAACTCTAAGACGATATATAGTCTCATATCTCGATAATGGTGTGATATCTTCATATTGCCCAGCCCTATCCAAAGCCCTGCAAAAGTCTAAAATAAAAAAAAATTAAATGATATTAATGCAAGATATCCGATAAGGGTGGGAATCACCAGACATTACACAATACTATATCATCACAATATTTAAGTTGTGATACAATATTATTGCGATTTTCACTGTTTTGCAACATGTTGAGTACTGCCATGACATATATTGTGATTTATTGCCTTTTTTTCCAACAGAAAATTGTGTCCCCACTGTAAAACTTTGTCAACATCTGTCCCCAGTCTGTTCATCTCACTACAGTCACTTTTATTGCCGCAAAATATATCTCGTGGACTGGAAAGGCAATTAATTTTTATTATTCTAGTGGGCTACCAAAGATTTAATTACTATTTGCAATATTAATAATTTATTTAATAAAAAAAAAATCAATGCTTGGTCAGCCATTCTGCAGTGTTTTTCATTACCCATCAATAAATTATAAACCCTATTATTAATCTTGGTTGTCATGCACATGATTACCTTCAATGTATTGTTTAATTCATGAACTGAGTCACAGTGCCTCATTGTCTTCCATTAATATGCTGGTAGCTGCTAATAAATAGTATTAAAATTCTATTTATAGACTAAGAAAACTGTCAACAGTCAATATCTCATCAATTAATTAATTTCCTGAACAAAATAACCACAGTGCCATAAAAACCTGAGGCCATTTTTTTTGTTGCTAGCTTAATTATCAGAATGCTATATCTGACTCACTTCCAGACCGTGACCGTTACTTCCGCTAACTCTGTAGTAAAAATACAGACAGACAAAGACAGACAAGTGACCCAGCAAACACAGCTGAGGTTTATTAAGTTCATATCAGTGCTCTGACCGTGAAAAATCTGCGCTACACTGACAACAATAAACATTTTAACGAACTGTTAGGCTGGGTGTGATCTGACCACAGGCCTCTGATAATAGGTGACCGTTGGTGTTTGCTGATGACATGTTTCATTACAAACCGCTCGACCGTTAAGATGACCGGTAACCGACAACATGGACTCACCTTCCTCTCACCTCAGGGGCGGCCACAGCCAGCAACAAGACGACAAGTTAACGTGAACCAAATCTTTAAGTCTCCATCCTGGCAGCAGCAGCAGCTGGGAAAAGTCTCTTCACAGCATGTTTGTGTTTGTTCGCTTGTTTTGTTGGGAGCTCCGCGATAAAGGCAACACGTCCTCGCCTCGCAGCCACTTCTTGTTCTGTAACCGTGTACCAGGGCACAGATGTGTAAATTATTGAGAGAGTTGTTTTCTTCTCTTTCGGCTGCTGCTGTGAGATCGGTTACAAGAGTTAGTTGTAATCCGAGTCCTCCTCCTCCTCGTAAAAAAAAAAAAGTTTCAAACTTGAGGGGGACCTGGAAATGGACAGATTGATGTGGGCTCGGGCCAATGGAGGAGCATGAGGAGTGGACCGGCCCAATCAGACCCGAAGAAAGGACCATTTACAGCCAGCACATTCCCTGCCCCCCCTGTAGGGTTTCCAGTAATTATCCCGGTCCAGTCCCCGGTCCCAAGGCTGAAAAGTTCCCAGAGGAAATGGTGTTTAGGGAACAATGAGCAGGAACTATGGGGAGCAGTTTTTATGTCATGGACTACATGATATATGTGCTTGTTAAGTTACACAGTCAGGAAACAAACTTTTATTTCAGTTACATCACTATTTTCTTCCAAAAATGTGCATTTAATAGTTTCACGACTAATTAGTAATGAGCACACACACACACACACACACACACACACACACACACACACACACACACACAGATTTTGTCAGCGGATGTTTTTAGGATACAGGAAGTTTTTCGTCATCTGTCTAATGAGGAAACAGGAATTCCCGAGGTTAAAATAACCATCATGCATTGTTATTCCAACGCTGAGGTAATGCTATACAAACAGTGCTGATACCATACACAGCACATTTTAGCCACAAGCCTCGGGTTGTACCTCAGTGTTATTAATGTGAGCAGTATTTATTCTACCCCGTGAACTAAACCTATAAATATTTATATCTTGTACTGTAAGTGTAGTATTATGCTGCTGCAAGTCATCATTTTTCTACTGCCCTACTGGAGACACCTGCAGTGGGGAGGCTGATCCAGCGCGCCCTCTAGTGGTATAGTGTGATTAGTGGGGGAAGACGATAGAGAATCATTGGTAGAGGAAGGAAATGTTCTTTATTTTAATTGAGAACATGATAAATCTAAACAAACAAGGCACATTCTCAAGTTTTTCCTCTTATTCACCGAATAGCTTCTATCTCAGATTGAGGAAGATCAAAATCATAGAAATAAAACACAACAAAAGGTGTGAACTGAGGCTGCAATGCCACAGCTCACTGGGGGCTCGGGGAGAGAGTTCAGTTTCCTGGCAGCTTGGTGGATGAACAACAACGTAAACAAAAACAAAACAGGGCTATCTCAAAGTAACTTAAGCATATCTAGTAATGAAAACAACTTTAGAGCTGTCTTGTCTTCAACAAGTCTCAGAAATGTGCAAAGTGTAAGTACCGTAAAGCTTCAGTCAATAGCCTGGGCTATTATTTGCTCACTCACTGATACCAACAGGCCTATATTAGGGACAGGCGTCTATATGGGACAGGCCTTTAATTTCTTTCACACAAAACTGTTGCTCAGCAAAGATCAGGAAATATAATCAAACTGTTTGTTTAAACCAGAATGAATAATTCTTGTATAAAAATTAGGCTTCAGATAATATATTAATTACGAATCATTCATTTGATCTAACTCCGACAGACAGCTCATCAGAGAGAGAGTGAGTGTGGGCACTCAAGGATTATGGCACCCAGCATATTGATACGACACCACTTTATCCTGTTAAGACAATCCTAACAACTTGGATACATTTTTATGAAAAAGCCTTTTGATTATTTTTGATCTGAGTACCCTTAAAGACTAGAGGAATATCAATAAATTACAAGGTAACACAGGAATGGACACATAATTTCAGGTAGCCAACAACCTGGTTTTATACATCCGAAGAACTTCTATAAAAAAAGAATGAACTGCTTGGCAACCAGACCAGGCATCTAATTAAACAGGTATTTATTTGTCAAAATGTGCAGTAAAAGGCTAATTAAAGGGACTAGGTGTTTAACTGGGACTATAGGCTTTTAACTGAAGTTTTATGGTAAGTCAAAATCAGCCTGCCTTTATTCAAAATATAAAGACAACTGCAGAAATATAGATTTTATTGTTTTCAATACATTAACAACATGAAATTAATTAGATTTGTAATTAGGCTACATGATTATTGTGTAATTGTTAAATAGTGTCTGTCTTATTAGAATAGGTTTCATTCCACAATGGTAGTTCTCTTTTGTAATACCGGTATGCATATTTCAGTGGGTGATAGTATTATGTTTAGGGCTGCAACAAACAATTATTTTCATCATTAATTTGACAGTTATTTTCTTGATTAATCAATATGGTTTGGTCTGCAAAACGTGAGAAAATTGTGTTCAGATTGCTTGTTTTGTCTTGACCAACAGTCGCAATAAAATATCAGTTTACTATGACATAGAAATAAGCAGATTGTTTTTTCTTGAAAAGTAAGGGTTATTAATCAGCATAAAGCAGATTGTTTTTTCTTGAAAAGTAAGGGTTATTAATCAGCATAAAAAATTGCAGATTAATTCTCTATGGATTGACTAACTGATTTATTGAGTAATTACTTTATCTCTAATTATACCACATTTATTTTGTGAATAATTTATACTGGCACTTATGATAGCTGGTAGTTGCGTACCCTTTGAACATCACATTTATATTACTACAATTTCTGCATGAATGAGGACATGTTATAGGCTGGATTTTGTTGAGATTAAACTCACCATTACTCAGATAATCCAGCTCTGCCAGTAAACCTCCAGGTTACCATCATTTTAAGTAGGCTAGCACAGGTCTGTGCATATTTTATTTAACCTTTATTTGACCAGGAAATCCAAGTGAGATTTAAAATCTCTTTTACAAGAGAGACCTGGACAAGGTAGCAGCCAATCAAAACACATTTAAAATGCAACAAATATGACATATGATACAAAAATCCACAATAAAACAACAACTATTCAAACATAGTGGCCTCTCAAGAAAAACAAGCACATGTCTCTGTCACCAAATACTTTATGATGCCCTTAAATTCATTGGTGGATATAAGTGTTTCTAAAGTCTTCCTCTGCACAAGGCATATTTATAACACAATATGGACAATTTAATTACTTTACACTCAGATGTCAATTTTTGGACCTGAATCAATCAAAAACACCACTAAACACCCATATGTAGTGGTTTTCAACTGAAACAGTGGTTGGGGTTTATTTACTCTTTAATTTTTGATGTACATTATGGTTGGTATTAAAACAAATAAATAGTGTAATGGTGAACTTGTACCTTCGTGAAGACATTGTCTTTTCAGAGCGTTACAATAGGCTATAGATTATTGGTTTATCTGTCTATATGATCTCTTAGTGTCTGGACCAGGTCTTGAACTCAATCTCCCACAATCCTCGCTGAAAAGCAGGAAGGTGACGTATTTGCGCTACGTGTCAGGAAGTTCTGTAGTCAAACATGGCGGCGCAGCAGAGTGATGTTGATGAGCTCTTCGATGTGAAAAATGCCTATTATATTGGCAGTTATCAACAATGTATTAACGAGGCTCAGAAGGTGAAGGTGAGTATCTAACAAGGCATCAGTTAAATGATTTAAAATAAACTGTTTCCTCCATTTTACCCGTTCAGCGTAACTGTAGTCAATGGCGTTTACGAGCATCAATGCTAAACATGTTAGCGAACATTTCTCTATGAAATACTAAACTTCTTCTCTTTTTCTATGAAGCCGTCAGCCCCAGAGAAGGAGGTTGAGAGGGACATGTTTTTGTACAGAGCATACATCGCCCAGGTAAACCTTTGTTACGTGGCATTTTCCTTAAAAGAAATGTTATGTGTTACACTGAGCTCTTGTCATTAGCTGATAGCCACTTCATATTCATGGCTGTCACAGCTGTTTGGCAGTTTAAAACCCCGATCATCCTCACATGTGTTTTGTGCTGTTGCAGAGGAAGTATGCTGTTGTCCTGGATGACATCAAGGGCAACTCTCCACCAGAGCTGCAGGCTGTCAAGATGTTTGCTGAATATCTGTCCAGTGAAAGCAAAAGGTAAGAGCTTGTATTTGACTAGCAGAGGTATCAAATTAGACTGAGCACCAAGTATAACAGTCAGATGTACAGTCACACATGAATGCACAGTTTCTTAAGCGCCTTCATAACAGAGACTTTTGGTGTAAGGGTCTTTAGTATCTACTGGAATCTACAATACTGATGAAAACCGTGTCTTTGATGATTTGACACATCACTGCAGTAGTTTTTCCTTCCCAGATTTTGCTGCTGTTAGCATACTGCCCACCTTGGTAGAATAATACAGCCAGCTCTGAATGCTGGTAGTGGATGAGCGTAAAAAGATGCTGTTTGAGGTCATTAAAAACACTTAAGCTGTTCTGCCAGCTTTGGTTGATAACTTCCTCAGTTTACAAAAGGTGTTGGTTTGTCTTTAAATGTCAAACTATCTCCACGTCACAGATTTTTTATTTTTTGGTGAAGGGAAGGCAGCTTGTTGCAAGCGTATGTGGGTTACTGCTATATACTTTAGTGTGTTAAACAAATAATATAATATACTTTATCTTCTAAATAATCAAGGCCTTACAAGTCTAAATGCAGTGCTGAGTGGAGTCTTCATTGTCTGATCAATCTCCCCACTGCTGTTTGTTTTCTCGCAGGGATGCCATTGTTGCTGATCTAGACAAGAAGATGGCCAAGAGCGTGGATGCTGCCAACACCACCTTCCTCCTCATGGCTGCCTCCATTTACTACCATGAGACGAACACTGATGCTGCTCTCAGAACTCTGCACCAAGGAGAAAGCCTGGAGTGGTAAGAAAGGATCAAGGTTTTACTTTTTAAAACAGTCTTAGACAGATTTTGTTCATGTACCAAAGTGATTCACAGTAAATGTGTCAACAAAGAAAAGAAAATATATTACTTTATGCAGACTACTTTAACTGTTGGTACAGTAAAGACAATGGTATTTGTTTCATCCTTGTTCTTTGCATTGGAGTGTCATCAACCATCCAAGTAATGTGTAGATGAATACAAGAATTACTAAGAAAAAATCAAGTTAGACAGTATCGTCATCTCAACTAGATTGATGCATTCTGACAAAACAGGTTGACATATCCAGAAGGTCTTATATGGAAATATCACATTACACACGGCTCCCGCTTCGCAGGTTAATCATGACATCATGGCAAATCATGTTTGCATGATAATTGAAAGAGTTTGGATGTTTCTCAAAAAGATAACTTGCTTTTTGACTCAATGTTCTGTCAAATCTACCCAAAAACGAACAAGGCTGATGTATTAATGTATATGAAAGATAGATTAACTAAATTGCATCCTGAAGTTATTATACTCTAAAATGTTTTGTTTGGCAGTTTGTTACGTGTAACAGAAACATAAAAAAAAAAAAAAAAAAAACACACAGTAGATGGTTGTTTTGCACCTGAGGCTTCCACAACTTGTTTTGTAAATTAAAGTTTAGCTCCATGAGACTCTCTGATGGGTCACTGGGTTTATAAAATTGCTTTAATTTTAAATACAACAGCCTGAAGCTGACCAAACTGACCTGAACCTTTGATTATTTTCCAGCATGGCCATGACCATTCAGGTGTTGCTAAGTCTGGATCGTGTTGACCTGGCAAGGTATGGCAAAACACACAAACTGTGGATGATTTGCATTCAATTCTCAGGTTAGAGTTGTTGTTTGAACGCTCATGGAAAACATCTAGGTGCTTTTTTAATGTGCTGAGAGAAAAAAATGAGACTTTGCATACAGAAAAATATTGTTCCTGTGTTCCTCTTGTAACGATGACATTACATCTTCTCATTAACAGGAAAGAGCTGAAGAAGATGCAGGAGCAGGATGAGGATGCTACTCTCACCCAGCTGGCCACAGCCTGGGTTAATATTGCTGTGGTGAGGAGGAGACCAGCATTTTGTTACATTTATTTAACATTATCAAGATACACATATTTGATTTATAAGTAAATGCTCCATCATGAATAATTTGTAAACCCTCTGTGCATAATGGAGAGAAGGGCATGTGTCTGCATATATACCAAGCAAATTAAATTCCCATTCATTACATTATCAGCATCCAGGTTGTATTGTGATTGACTGAAGCTGCAGTCAGGTTTGAAATGATAAGCAGGTGGGGTAGTATGTAGTAGTGCAGTGTTGAATTAACATAACCAAAGTATGGCAGCTCTCAGAAGAACTCTATTCCCTTTAAATTGCTCATACTGCACACTGTAGTTCCACCAGCTCACGAGAAGCACTGGGTACCTCTGACACCGTTTTATAAGAGTATTTTCGCCCACATTTCATTGCATCCTGCTTGTTGTTCCAGGGCGGAGAGAAGCTGCAGGATGCCTACTACATTTTCCAGGAGATGTCGGACAAGTACTCATCGACACTGCTGCTCCTCAACGGGCAGGCGGCCTGTTACATGGCTCAGAACAAGTGGGAGGAGGCTGAGGGAGTGCTACAGGAGGCACTCGACAAGGTTAGATGGCAACAGTTTGTTCTGTTTTTGTCCCTCTTGTTTTGTCTCTTCATCACACATGAACTGACATATTCAGCACACTTTGGTGTACACACATGCACAGTTTATTCAGCTAAAGCTCTCAGTGGCTTGTTGCTGAAACTGGTATCAGAGTCATATATCCCTCATATTTAAATCCTTAATGAATGCTTGTTAAACAGGAGTTGTGCTGGAGGTGCTAATGCATATTATGTAGCAACTATGTAATATGCATAGAGGGTTAAATCTAGTTAAAGGATGCATTCAGAATTATTTTAGAAGTGATGCTGCAGCACATTTTAAACAAGCTAATCTGAACTTCTGAACTCAGTTTGATGTCACAACTTGAAAATAAAACACAGATAAGAAGAAAGAACACACTTTTTTGGTGAATCAGATTTGTGTAATGCTAAATATGGTCTTTTAGACATGGTTTATCAGCAGAGCCTTCAGGACTAGCAGTGTGGTTGGCCAGTCAGTGTAGCAGAATAAATTAAGTATGCTATTGTTAAGTTAAGGTTCTTTAAAAAAGCCTGTTTCATGTAAGGAATGCGTAACGCACCGAACACCGAAGAAATGTTACCGAACCCAAATCCATGTGTTATATAGACACACAGCAGCATATCAATTAGTCCCTAAACATTTTTAAAGGAATACTTCACCCCCAAAATGATCATTTGTGTATCAATTACTCACCCATGTTACGTTGAACTTGTAAAGGAATCTTTGTCTTTCCTACATGCCTCCGAAGTGACCGAAAAATCCAAATATTGAGAACATTCTTTATGAACTGAAGTCTTAGGGACTGTGTTTAACAACAGCAAACTATATCAAAACATCCATTTACAAACTCTCACATAACTGCCGCAGTATAATCCAAGACTCATTTATCCAGTCGTATGCTCTGCACTTCCCAAACACATTCATTTACCTTGCTGTTGGATGACAGTGAACTGAACTACAAGTGAAACGTTTCTATTCTCTCTTCAAAGCCAGACTCCATTGATAAAAACAGTAATTTTACCTACTTGAACACGGGAACCGCTGGTCTACTGCTGCGTCGATCGGTAGTACGTGTTATTGTGTGACTTTCGTGAACCACACTAACCCTTTAAAACACCAAAGTCGCACAATAACACATACAAACTACTGCTGGAGGCAGTGGTATACCAGCAGCCTCTGTGTCAAGGGAGGTAAAATTACTGTCTCTGGCAATGGAGTCTGGCTTTAAAGAGAGCACAGATAAGTTCATTTGAAGTTCATTTCCCCATTGTCTGACAGCAAGGTAATATAATGTGTTCAGGAAGTACTGAGCATACAACTGGATAAATGAGACTTGGATTATACTGAAAGAGCTGTTTGAGCTTTTGTCAATGGATGTTTTGATAAGGTTTTGCTGTTGTTAAACGCAGCAGCCTATGACCTCAATTCATAAATTGAGGTTATCTACAAATTCAACATAACACAGGTTGAGTAATTGATACACAAATGGTTATTTGGGGGACAAAGTATTACTTAAATTTAGTAACAGACCTAAGCTTTAATGTCACAGCCTCAGAAACAAGGCCAAACGTTTCCTGTTCTGTGGATGCTTCCGTCAACATCAGGTCAAATTTGAACATTTTGAACTGCTTACATCTTAACAGCAGATGGCGCCATCAAACTCTCTTGTAGTCTACAGTTATCTGTCGTGAGATAAGGTTTGACCTCTGCCTACTGCTTATCTACAGAATGCAATAAAATAACCACTTTACATCACTACTTTTTTTAAGTTTGTCTTTTTTCATCTTTTATACTTATAATATTATATAATTAATAAATATTAAATATGCACTGCTCCATCTCACCTTTGAGAATATGAGAGCTCTCAGTTGAAATGCACTTTGAATAGATGTGATAAGTGCTTGACATTTGGGGTCTGTTTTTGATTTTAACATTGTACAAGCTCAGTTACGTTGACTGTTAAAACCTGAGATGGCTCTCTGTAAGGACTTAAAACTAAATCCCCTGCTTAGGTTGACTGAAATGAAGCTTTTCACAAATGTCTAGCTTCTCTGAGCTTCCTTTTTCCATTTTCTCTTCTCGTTTTACCAGTTAAATAATAACAAAGTGACGGTTATCCATTGATGTTTGATGGTCACTTAATAGACACAACATGCAGGAAGACTATTACTTGATTTAACAAGTTTACATGTTCATATGTTCCAAAACCAGACAAATGTTTTTAATGGTGGAGTTGAATAAATAATAGGAAAAGACACATAAGTTAAAGTATTTTACACAAACACATGTACACATTTGGAGCAACACTCATAATTCTATTCATGGTGGATGTTACCATTGGGCTAAAACACTGCACAACAGCTGCCTGCACCACCTTGTTATGTGTTGTACTTGTGAAAGAGAAAGTTAAAACTGTATCATTAAGTTATTCATCCCAGTAAGTGATATGAAAATCAGCAAAAACAGCGTTCTTTCTCTTTCAGTCAACGTTTGTGATTCTATCGTTGTCCACTTTGCTCTGTGAGGAATGAGTCTCTCACTTTCTGTCCATCTGTCTTTCTCTCTTCCCCCTTTTAGGACAGCAGCCACCCTGAGACGTTGATCAACCTCATAGTGCTGACTCAGCACCTGGGCAAAGCTCCCGAGGTGAGACTTTGGACTCAAAGCTGTTAACGAGAGCAACGCTTTAACTGCCGTCACTTTAGCCGTTTCCTTTAGACAAACTCATCCTCAGTCAGAGAGGACTTGAAAAATCTTTGTCCAATAACACTCCGTGCTCGGAGAGCAAAAGGCCATTCTCAGCAATTTAATGTGTTTGCTTTGATTAAACCAGGCAAAAGCATTCAACCAATCTATTTCTTGATTGCGTCTGTCCTGTATCATGGAAAGTGTCATCTAAGCATTTCCACTGGTTTAGTGCTGTGTGAGTTTTACACCCTGAACTCAGAGTTCATGAGATAAAGACTCAATTATCTCTCTTACGTTTGATGGTCTTGATAATAATGGCAATAGAATGCTGACCATTGACTCAACGCCGTCATTAAAGAGATTCGAACTGTGATAACCACTGATTAGCACATCCCACTCAAGGTTAAATGGAATTATGAGGACCATTAGGTACGGTAATACAGAGTAACTTTTGAACTTTTCTTTTTGGCTAAATATAAGCCAACCAATGTTGAATGTGTCAGTCTTTGTCCTATATGCCTTCCTGACTAGGACAGATCTTCAAATATTAATTGTCTAAGGCCCTTTCTACATGTATACAGATATTTTTGAAAGTCCTCCATTTTAAAAAACAATTCTCTATAAGACCTTTGTTTCACAAAATATCTTTGTCCACACTATGATGCATAAACGACCACAAACGCTTGCCAGCATTAGCTGTCTTTATTAGTCTCCTCTTGTTACAAAGGTAGTGAAGAGTACAGAATGTTACCTTTTTCAAAACACCTACTGGACATCTTGTCACTGTTGATGCCTGTTCAATGTAAGAATGAAGGAGCTCCACTCCTCAACGGCAACAATCCCAGTTTGTGAACTGTCCCTACACCTGCTGGTCTTATCGCTTCTGATCCAAAACCATTGTTTCCAGCGGACCATAGACCGCAGATGCTGAGGTGGATCAAAAGAATTGGGTGCAGCAGATGCCTCTGGTCGTCCATGACATGGTGCAGCAATATAGAGTTTAGGTGTAAAGTAGTCTGTAGACCAAGCTGTGCTAACAAAATGTCAGCAAACCGGTAATCCGCCATTGTTTTTGTTTCTAGTGTATGCTCATTACACAAAGCAACAATGGACATGTGCAGATTGAGGAGATTACGTCATCATTTCCCAAATGCTCCATTTTACACATCCACACAGATAAACAGTAGTCAGAGTTTTGAAGAATTGGCATCTTAGAAACGCAAAAAAATCTTCATTTTAGTGACCTAAAACTCAGTTTGAGTGTGGACAAGAGGCCAAAACGTAGAGGAAAATATCTGTGTAATACTGGCCTTTACTCAGCTGAATAGCGTCTGTTTTCTGCCTTGTCTCACTCTCATTACTCAAATCAGGTCTTAAAATCTCACAAGTGCAAACCTATTTGAGCCCTTTCAAACACAACAGTACAAAGATCAACAATATTACAATATCTAAGTACCGTCTGACCTGCCTTTTTTCCTCTGTAATATTAAATATTCATGACTATATAGTGGCCTGACAGCTTACACAAACAAACCCACAACTGTCAGCGGAGTCAGAGTGAAACGTCACCTTTTTCCAAGTGAGCCTCACCCACTTCAAACTAGTGTGTGGACAACACAAATGCAGCCATCTCCGCCAAGTTGTAAAGTTTTGGCAGAAATTGTTTTCAGGCCCTGATAACAGGTTTTGTCATTGACAAACCTCAGTAAAATTCACCTTGTTTCACAATTTTAAAGTCCCCAACTTTAGAAAGAACAGGTTTTTGGGGCCTCTAAACATTTGCTCAAGAGGCTTTTCTTGGCTGTCTTTACTATCGTCACTTCCTAATGTTTGCATCATCTGTCTTCCCTCAGGTAACCAATCGGTACCTCTCTCAGCTCAAAGATGCACACCGAGCCCACCCATTCCTCAAAGACTACTTCGCCAAGGTAACTTGATTGTATATGTTAATTAATGCTTTCTATTCTAAAGGGATCCCTCTGACCTATGGCCAGGGCTATTTAAGTTCACATGATCCAATCACAGTTGTTGATGAGCCTTAGTAACCTTTACTCTGTTATAAATTAATCACCTGCCTGGGTTGTTTTGATTGTTGGGTAGTAGGTGTCCTTGTAGAAAAGTCACAAGAGCATTAAACTCTGAATCTATAACCTTTGGCACAGATGAGCGCAGATGTACATAAACATTATGTACGCAAACCATGTGATGCACAGCTGGTTCAGATGTTGTTCCTGGTGTTTAACTGTTTCCTCTGCTTTTTGTCCCCGCAGGAGAATGAGATTGACAGACTAGCGATGCAGTACGCTCCCACCGCCACAGCATAAGACGTCTTCTTTTGCTGAGACACCAACAGTTTTCCTCTTTCTAACTTGCATACATGTATTTGTTTTGATATGTCAGAAAAAAATGTCACATTAAAACATCGGCTGTATTGTTTAAACCGGACCAGAAGTCACCATGTCCCCTGGGTGCACATGAAACATGCCCATCCTTTATTAATTTGAGTTTCTCCAATAGAAATCAACAGTTTTAATGTAAGCATTCCTGTGCAATGATAATAAATGTTTAATACCTGTGTTGCAGTGTGGTTTTGTGTGAACAGTGAAAGTGTGTGAGAAGTGTTTCCTGGTGCTCTCTGTCACACTTAATATGATGTCAGTGTCTTGTGTGCAGCCTTGTCTGAAGCATTTGTCTGCACTGTCTCTTTAAGTCATCCTTTTTAATCCACAAGCAGAGGGTTCAAAATGAAGACAGCGGCCCCTAATTACGTCACGCCCCCTTGGCTTTTTTCCCCCCCTCTTCTCCTTATTTTAGCATAAACGTACGCTGGCCTCTTTACAACGTACCAGTTGATTCCCATTGAAAGCGAAGCGCGGCTTGTCCAAAAAAAAAGAAAAAAAAAAAAGACGAAGCCCAGGACACGTTGACCAGCCCGGAGCGGCAGCAGCAGCAGCGGCAGAAGCGGCAGCGGCGGAGAAGAAGAAGGAGGAGAAGAAGAAGAGACGGCAACCTCTCTTCATATAGGATAATATTCTTTTTATTCAACCTTTTATCTTCGCTGGAATAACTTACCTTCGTGTGCCGGTGTGTCGGGAGTCAGCTGCTCTAACTCATGAAGCGGTACAGAGACGTTACATAAGGCGAATAACGGACCGAGATGAGACGTTACAGCGCAGCGGCACAGTAATCGCATGTGCTGCCTGCCTGGGCTTGGCGCTTGAAAGCAAGGGCGACACAAACGTCGGACCTCTCACGCTGAATTCATCCATGTATGTGAGCTCCATCACGTTTTGGGGTTAATTTATTCAAGTAGCTAGCTTAGCTCGGAAGCCGCAGCCAATGCTGGTCCATTCACTATTGTGTGCGTTTGATTTAACTTAGCTAGGCGGCTAACCTAAACCAGGACGCGCTGCTGCTGCTGCTGCTGCTGCCGCTGATGAGCCCGTGTGCGTAGCGGAATGATGATCAGAAGAAACCTCCAGCAGACAGGCGCTTATGGCTCACATTAATTGTCAAAACCATATGTGATAATTGGTTTGTGTGATTGTTAGATAGAGCCTCACAGCCGGCGTGGTTGTTGAAACCCGGTGGGCCCTGCTATCATTCATAAAACTGTCCTGGACGCGAAGAATGGGCCCGTGTCTTAATTTGGAAAACAAAGAATTAGGCTACTGAAGAGGGTAAGCTGGTTAGATAAGCTTGTTTTATCGTTTTTAGGTGAGCTAGCAAGCTGGTTTACGGATTAGACACACAGTCTGGACTGTACCGCTCCCTGCGCTCCCTCTGCCCCTCAATTGGAGTATTTTTTTCATCCTCCGGTTTCCACGTTTTTGTTCTCCCTGCTCCGCACCACGATGAGCAGCCACACAGGGGACAACGGGCCGGTGGAAGTGGAGCCCATGCCGGGATACTTGGACCTCATCACCAGAGCCACCACCGTCATGCTGGGCGCATGGAGAGACTGTACTTCTTGCGGTCTGGAGCTCTCCAAACGGACTCTCCTGGATAACGCGTATATTACCTGGACCGAAATCGCCCTGTTTTTCTTTTGCGCCTTTTTGTGGACGCAAGTCAGGCGGGGACTGACAGACAGTCTGTTTCAGGTGGGTGCCACACAATCCCAATGCACACTGATCACCCTCGAGCTCCCCAAGGGTAATTTGCTTACACCATTAATTAATGGACTTAGTAGCTTATTCCTCTAATTAGAGCCCCAGAAGTGTGGCCTCTGTGTGTGCCATCTCTGAGGAGTTGTGACTGGAGACACATGACTGAATGTGAGGCAGCAGGTGAGACATAGTATAACACATGTTAACAAATATTAGATCCAGCTGTAGGTTTAAGATAAAGGGGCAAGGGACAGAGTGTGTGCTTGTTAGACAGTAAACACCCTTATCTATACTTGTGCTTGCAAACGTTTGAGCTGAACAGGTGTAACAAATAGGTATGTAATCCAGAAGTTCTTTGAGGTCAATTCCCACACACACATAGATATATATACAGGTATAGGCATTTCATGTTAGTTACAAATGATGAATAATGACCTCAGCCAGAGAGTGGTATTTTCAGTCAGATATCTTGGTGACAGGGGATGAAACAAACACTACAAAACAGCATCTATTTTTGGTCTGTGCTCACTGAATTTAATCCAAACACACTTTTCCATTTTATCCATTTGTAGCAGTCAATAAAACCTTGAAGCTCTTAGATTTGTATTAGTGCTTTTAGGTACTTTTTGGAACATGGCAGCAAGGTCATTAATAGTAATTATGTCAAACTGCAAGTGATGCAGACTTCCTAGCATCCACTTCCCTCCCCCTTCTGTCTCTTTCTCTCTCTCTTTCACACACACACACACACACACACACACACACACACACACATACAAAGTACACTGAAATTAGGGGTATAGTATATGCGATTTATTTTATATCACAATATCAGAATCAGGAATGCCTGTTTTTGGGTGTTCACATTGATGCAAAAATTATATAAAAATCAAATTGTCAGTCGTGCTCATTGATTTGCAGCCTTTCCCACAACGGCCTCATACACCTAGAGATGCCACATAAAGAGATGGCTTCCCTCGGTTTAAATGGTGTGGCAAAATTACACATTGCATCCACATTATATTAATGACTTTATTTCCAGAAATGAGACCAACAAGCAACATTAGAAATGTGTGGTATATACCTGAGGATGTGCACTTACAAACCACAGTGTCTCTAAAAGCAGCATCACCACCACCACGTTGCTTCTTACAACAGTTTGTCACTCAGACACCAGATGCTCATGCTATGCTTTGACAGATTGGCCCTATGCCTGGGTCTTCCCTACACCCGTCCCAAGTCCCGAGCACCTCCGCCCTGTTGGTGATCCCAGGGAGGAGCCCTTCTCCACAGATAGCCAGGATGTGGCTCGTTACTCTGCCATGAGTGTGGGTGGGGGTGGAGAGCCTGCACATGGTAGATGCTACAGTGGTATACTGTAGCTCAGGGCCCCATGTGTGAAGCCAGATGTGGCTCGAGAATGCAAAGAATGAGGCCTGTTTTCCACTTTACATTATGTATGTGTGTCTCACAGTGTGTATGCATGTGACTCATGACCCCTATGGAACAATATGGGCTGTACCCCATATAAGGGCTGTGAAGGATGAGGTGAGATTTTTTATATCAGGCGAATTAAGAATCAGCCAGCGTTCCCTTGTTATTTAGTGCATGTATAATACCACCTTTACAGTGCTTACATTAGGGATGAAGAGGATGGGTTCAGTGTTAGGTCAGCCATGTTGAGCTAATGCAATACGAATATTGCTGCTATACATCACAAAAGCTGAGGTGGGTTGTCAGGAGAGTGCAACTTTATTTGAGCACAGCTAATTGCATTGACTTGACCCATGCAGGATGTTTTCTCACTTGTTAAGCTGGCAGTTGAGCAAACCGCAATGCATTTAAAACCTCTACAGTGATGATTGAATTGCGGTTTTCACAGTGTTGAAGTACACATCAGCTACGGGCTGGTAATGTATTGTGTGTAATGCATGAAAAGTAATGTGTGCACAACATGAGCAGGATAAATGACAGACAGTCGTGAGTACACATAATTAGGTTCAGAGCTGAGGCCACGTTATGGACATTAAATGTTAGACATCAGTGGACAAAGCACCGTGTCATCTCGTCTTGTCGCGACCTTTTGTGGACTGTGATGATTTGATCTGACGTGTGAAGAATGAGTGTTAGTTCCTCTGACATGCTTTGAAAGCACCATTTATGCACTTCAAAGAAATTATACAGACATCAATACAACTGTCGAGGATAGAGATGGACATTTGTCTTTCAAAATAAGCTTCAGTTGACATGCTTTTGTTCACAGGACCTATTTCTTGTAGAGCAATTAGGCAATTAATCGATTAGTCCAAAGATTGTTTCAGTCATTTTTCAAGCTGACACGCTAAATATTTGATAACACCAGATTCTCAAATGTGAGAATTTGCATCTTTTCTTCGTCTTTACAGCAAAGCGCTCGGATAAAACAGCCATTTTTAATGTTTTCTGATGTTTTATTGACCGAAAGATAAATCCAAACCATTAGCACATTCATCCATAATGAAAATAAGTGTTTGTTGCAGCCCTTATTTCATGTCTCACATCGAGCTCTATTTGCAGAGGTTGCTGTTGAATTTCAGAGCACATCTGCCACTGATGGATGAAAATAATTAGTTTCCTGTTTTGTTACTTACAGTACTCCCAGTCATGGTTGAAGAATGAAGGTTGACCCACTTAAAAATCTTCACTTACTCTCTCTCTTCTGCATTTTCCACCGTACAGTCGGATCCCAATTATGAAGGCAGCGCAGTGACACTTGATTTTGTATGCTTATCTTGCTGCACTCAGTCAGTGGTACCAAATGACAGCAGCCAAACCTTGTTATAATGTGTAAGCCGTACACGTGTGAGACTAATGTCACCCACTCACTGTCAGAAACGGTATAATATTTTAGATATATTCAATCAAGGATTCAGTGTCCTCAAGCACACTGCTAGACACAAGAGTGCAGATAGATGCCTGCTTTTATGGTGACCTAACTTGGTTCATGAACAAGGCTAGCAAATAAGGTCAAGATGGATCAACTCCTAGCCTACACTGGAGTCTTTTTTTTATGTGTCAACCTTTCTGTGTTTATGGTAACCAAACTAGGTTCCACATGGTACCATCACTTCACATGTCAGTGAGCATGCTGTGGTGAGGTAAGAGGAGTGTGTTGGGGGTGGGGATGGCCTCTGTGCACAGCATTGTGTGGTTTTAGTGAGTGCTTTTCATCATGTTTTACTTTTGGTATGATGCTTGAGTTAGAGCGGCACCTATTCCGGTTAAATTAAACACAACTTGTTGATAAGCCACTTGAGCCCCGCTGTTACATCAAAACACCGCGGTGCGTAATAATCTCCTGACTCATCCATTGTCACTACCGACACTGGCATTTTAAAATGTGTCCTTTAAGTTAAGCTGTTGAAAGGCTCACCATTTAGCTCAGGGAAATGGATGTTGAAATGTTGAAATGCTTCACCCGGCTCTTATGATCTGTCGTCAGGAGAAAATGCACCTTGTAATCTTGTAAATGTCACGTGACGCATGTGAAAGTAGCTGTGCTCCTTCCTCATTGTGTTTATAACTTCACTCTGCACACGTTTGCAGAAGCGTGGTTCATGTTTGCTTGATTCAAATAGGTGATGTGGTTTATGAGTTGTGCATTGCATTTATAATATGCACGTGTGTGTTGGTTTAATGAGGATAGCAAAGAGAGGAGAAAGTTTTAAAGGAGCATACAAAGTGATGATGCTGGGTTGAAGAAGAGGTTATTAGAGGTGATAAATAAACAGAAGGAAGAGACAGAGGAAGGAAAGAATGGAGAGGAGAAGTGGGTTATGCAGCTAGGGCCTGGTCTGCTGACTCAGCATGCAGCAGCCAATCATTAACACAATTTCACTCACACCCACACACATGGATATGCTGGTAAATAGGATATAAGCTGTCTCATACACGCACATGCAACATCCACACATGCCACATAACTTTTATATCCAGCGGCATCAGAGCATGTGTTTTGAGTGAGACAACACAGTCGCTGCTCACTCAGTGCAGACAAACAAGGCAGACAGTGGTCAAACTGTCCAAGCTGCAGCAGTTTATAACTACTCACATAAATGCCTCCCATAGCTCCTCACACACACACACACACACACACACACACACACGCACACACTAAAGCAGTCACTCAAAGAGGAGAGCAGCAGTGTGTGCTTGCCAGCTCCAGTCTTGTTGCAGAGCTTATCTCCCTGCATAGAGCCGAGTAGCACCTCATCCCCTGCTGTTGTTCTAAATGTGAAAACAGCCTGAGGTTTGACAAGGTCCCCCGACCACAGATCCCAGATCACCTTCCACTGAGCCCCTGCTCATTGTTGTGCATTAGAGCCGCAGAGAGGAACCTGATACTGGATTTGTGGTGAATGGGAAGTGCTATCCATTCAGCCAAAAGTGCCCACTCAGGTGAATCTGGCTTGTAATTTTGACACTGATTGCAAGCAATTGTGCAGAAGTTTGGTTATCATTAGTCACATCCTCTCCTCTCCTCTCCTCTCCTCTCCTGAGTCAGCTATCTATCATCACATAGTGTTTAAGCAAGCAGCACTTTCGCCATCACCTGTCACGTGATCTATTGCTGTGTGTGCTCCAGTGTGTCATACATCATAAATATAGAGCCCTTATGGGTTCACAAAACTGTCAGCCACTGTTTCTCACACAGGTTGTGCTTCAGTTACTTACAATGTGTCCCTGTGATATATGGAGCTACATAAGTCTAATTATATCCATCACGTTTGTGTTGTGTATTCACAGTATTTTTGTGTATGTTTAGAGTAAAACATACCTAATTTCGGGGCCCCAGTGTGTTTCTATTCTTGTGTGTTTGCAGAAAGTTGAATGTCTGATGGCTTTGTGCTCTCATAGAGTCGGCTGCCTGCGGGATTGTTCCAACCTGTAATGCACTCAGCATCAAGCTGTCCAGTTCAAATTTCCTACTGACGTATTTGGTGACTTGCTTGTCA